GTGCCTTAGTTCTCGAGTTTTGGAACTCAAGATGTTATAACTGTTGTAATTTTAAGGTTTCTTATAACAACGACGAATTGTCTATTAAAAACTTCTTGTTGTTTCACCGTGCTGCTCAGCAAGTAGGCGGAATTGAGATTAAACCTTGTTGTGCCACGTAACTTTATCTCTTCCATCTTTCAAAACCGACCTTTTGTCGACCTTGGCAGGACTTGAACCTGCAATCTTCGCCTCCGGAGGGCGACGCCTTATCCATTAGGCCACAAGGCCAGTTTTTGCATGACAACTGCTTCAGCGGAATATCCTTACATCATGCAATTGAATATTTTGTGGTTACAGTTGTAATTTGCTTGTTCGTACTGTTGACAAGCCATTCATTTTTTGATCGTGAGGGGACAAAAGAACGTACTTTGTTTCATGGCGACAAGGACTATTAGGTAAACCATTCTGCTTACTCTTCTGCTTGGGTGCTGCCACTAATATCGCTCAAACTGGTGTTTCGAAAACAGTTTCTTGTTATGCCACAGTCGGTTCAGCAATCTTTGCTATTACGGGCTGCAAAAGTGAGCATATTTCTAAACTTTAGCAGTACTCAAACGTAGGGTCTTTGCTTCTGGCTTGCGACGCTTTATTAGTTCTCTAAAAAAATCCACATCTTGCTCTTAACTCTTCTGCTGATGACGTGGCCGTTTTGCATTACACCGACAAAATGCCAACAAATTTAATTAAAAGAAATATCTTGCGTAGTGCCAAGGAGGGTTTTTAATCATTCTAGTTATTTTATTTCCAAAAGTCTAGAGTTGGAAGATGTAAGCTTGCTAATTGAATAAACCGCTATGGCTCGCTAGGTTAATAAGTATCTAACAAGTTTCAAGAGTGTAGAGTTTCTGTACTTTTTAAATATTATGGGTATTTCTGGAGTTGTCTACTTTTAGACCTGGAAAACAAGGTTCTTGTCACCTGCACCTGTTTTCAGCTTTGTATCTTTTGATTTCATAAGCGACGGTAAATTTAGTGTGACTGAGGAACAGTATTCAGCATATGAGTAATAGTCTTTCTTCCTAACCTCTTAAAAAAACCACATTTTTCTCATCGTACTTTCTCGCAAGTACGATGGAGGTGGGGGTCTTTAATCTTTTTGCTTTGAAGTCTTTTCTCGCATGGACGCAATGTACGAAGGAGCGCGAAAAAAGTGCTATGATTTTAGATTTTCATATAACTCGAAACAGAAAATTGGAATAAAACAAACAGAACTTTTATTCTTTGAAGTAGAGTACGCGCTTAAGACGTTTACTGTGCGCCTAAAAGTATTGCTCTTTTTAAGCAATATTTTAAGTTGATGTATTTTGAAGTTCCATATCGGAAATGCATGAATTTCACTTGTAGATTTAATTTCTATAAACAGTTAAGACACTGAAGATTAACATTTGTAGAAAAAACTCAGGAGCTCATTTGGACTGGTTGTCCCCAAGTTCTAAAAAGCCGTACCTGCTAAGACGGAGATGGAATCACCAGCTTAAGAAAGGCGCTGGCAAATAGTACTCTGCATGAACTAGCTGCAGCCAAGCAGCGCCTCCTCGCTCTCTTCTTACGCAGTGCGACTAAATTAAATTACTTAAGAGATTTCTTTTATAATTATGATCGTTCAAGTGTCGACAGGTTTGTGTGGGAAGCTACAGTAATGCAGAAATTAACAACTGCACTTTATGAAGAAATAAGAAGGCTTTAGGCTGCTGTGTACTGTTAAACCAATTTTGCAAACACACATAGCGTTCCAAAGTACCTTATGTGCATAAACGTTCTGGAGGCTCATTTTGTGTCTTAGTGTTTCACCTTTAGTTCATATTTAAACCAGTAATTCACAAATGGAAGTTTCACCTGCTTGTTTACGATTTAGCCTGTTTTGTAGACAGTTAGTGGAGTTGGCATGAAGTCTTTTTAATTGAGCAGACTTGAGCTAGGATCAGCGCGGTCTTGACAAAACTGGAGCACCAAAATTTATTGTACAGGGACCGCTAATATAGATTAGAAAATTAAAAATTTGGAGCGCAAACAGGAACTATAGTTCCAAAAAGATTTGGGAGAAATTATATCCTCAGAGATGTAGTGAGGAGCTGCCTATTTTTTAAGCGACATGAGGCACAAAGGGTAAACGATTGGCAACTCCGATCGCTTGTGTTTTTACTGTCTCGTCCATTAGTCACGATTTTTGTTGAATCTTTTCGGCTGCCAGTGCCTCACCAAATTGGAAAGACAGTTTTGTTTCTTTCAACTCAATAAAACAGTCGCCTCTTTTTTTCAGACTTTTTTTTTGCTGATTACCTCTTGTTCGAAAAGTGCTTTTTATTTTGTTATGATTGTGCACATTTTCACATTTTTATTAAGTACGCAGTTTTTCCTCATAAACATTGAGTTTTATTTGATTGGAGCTTCAAACTCATTAAGTGAAGTAAAAAGCGGTAACGGGTAACACGGAAAGGTCGGTTTGACAGCAGACATATTTTTTGTTTAATTAAAAAAAAAGTTTTATTTTGAAAGAAAATCTGCGGTAATGAAGATCAGAAGAACAAAAATTGAACTTATTTTTCACTGTTTTTAGAAAAGCAATAATGAGGTGCAAAAGGTCACTATTTTTTTTAAACTCTCGGATTCTCAAGCAAAGCAACCAAACCTTACGGCGTCTGAGATGAGCTTTTATTTCTTGCTCAGATGGAAAAAACACTAACAAATTAGCGGTGCTTTTGCAGCTTTTTCAATGAAGCATTTTCACCAAATGGCTTTACTTTTTTTTTTTTGCTAGCAAACTGTTCCTTATAAGTTTTTTGACGCTTTTAATCACAAAAGCACGCCTTGATTTTCTGTGTGCGATTACAAGTTCCTTTGAGCATTTAAAAGAAATTTATTTATACATACGTAATTTTCGTAAATTGTTGAAGTGCTAAAAAATAAATATTGCTTTTCAAATTGTGGTAATTTTTATCTACTTTCTGAGAATACAGTTGTTCTTTAATGTAAAAGTTATGCCAATTACTATCTCTGCCCCGAGTGGAACATTAAAGTTTTAGCCGTGATAAATAAGAAAAGATAAATGACTATTTAAAAATTTTAGAACACTGAATTGCACTATTAAGGAAAACTACCAGTAGCTATTTAATGCTTTTGTCAAGTAAAAGCAAGGCCCGAGAAATTAAAAGACGTTATAGAGAACTAGTATGCTGATGGTGTACATTTTTTGAACGCTTGATACATCGCTTTACCGCCCGGTCGTAACATTTCCTCGTAAGCCCACGAAGTCAATCCAAGAAGCCAGTAAGTTACCATCTTGCCAACCTTCTAAAAACGAAAGGTTTCAGTAACGTCCTAAAGAAACACTATATCTGTTCGGATTGCCGATTTTTTGCGTCATAGTCGTAAAATGGAAATGAATCGGAAATGGCAGTTGAATGTATTATGACAATAATGCGAACCTTTAATACTACTTCACCTCTTTCTTCGAAAACAAAACCTCCTATCTCCTCGTATAAAATCTTGTAGGCCGAAGACGAAAGATGAATTAGATTAGCTGAAACACTTTGATTTCAGTTCTGCAAATCTGCTGTCTTAATTAGTTCTATAGACTCAAAACAACTTAGGGAAACGACGTCTTTTAGTAGCAGTAAATGTTATTTGTCATAATGAGATTTTAAACTGGAGGATAGATGTTTGTTAACGTTGCGGAAGAGCTGGATGAAAAAGTTGAAAAGCAAGGTTTGCATGGTTTCAATCAATTCTAAACAAAGCGTGCGTTGAATATAGAAAATGTGGCTAATGCAGTCTGCCAGTCGCTTAGCGTATTAGGATGTTTTTTTTAACATTCTCCCAAAAAAATTTATGAGTCAAAATTACTTCTACCATTCTTCTGTCTTTCTTGTCGCATTTTTTAGATAAAGATGGAACATTTTTGCTGTATAGATAGGTTTTGGAAGTTAATACAACCTATCTATACCTTAAAGCTTGTAGGGAGTTAAGAACGCCATTTGGCTTTTTCACTTTGACACTGCAGTAAGCGAAGTGCAGCAAAAAATTTTTTAGACTCAGCAAATGACAATTTCAACAAAGTAAAAAATTTTATACTGAAGAACTGCTTATAATAACTTATTACGGCACGCGTAATTCAAAGATCATTTTGACAGAAATTGTTTTTGACTATCTAAAAAGTAATTCCATGCAGCTATATTTAGATTTTAAATTCCTCTTGCGATTCAAGCTTTTCATGCTAAGTCTCTTTACAAAAGGGCTACATCAAAACCAAGACGAATTTTTCAGCTATGTTTCTCTAACCACTTTCGCATAAAACTTCCACTTTTTCAGAACAATTTTGCTTGTCTTTGAAATCTTCGAAGCAGTTATATTTTAAAAAAACCTTTTTTGATTAATTAAATGTAACACAAAATTTGAAAAAAAACTAACAACCAAAGCGAAAAATCTAATCTGCTGCTAATCAAGGCTCACAAAAGTGTTTTAATCAAAAAAGGCAAAGTCAAAGGGCTGTTAGACTTAAAGCGGCTGTTTGTAAAACAAGCAATACTAATAATAGAAAAATCTTTAAAAGCAAAGCCTCTCAACTACAACATTGCAAAATTTTGCATTGTGGCAGCACCTACATATAGTAACGTGAAAGAAGGAATGCAACAATGACGTAAAGATTTTGTTTTTAAGCGTTCTCGCTAAGCCACATAAAACACTTCAGGTCAAACGTGAGTTTCAGCAAAAATTTGTGCTTTTTTTTTTCTTTCTTTCGTGCCGCAGAGCCTTTGTTCCTCAGACATTCCCAGCATTTCTCTTGGTTGCGGAGGGAGCTGTCTTAATAGCGGGTGCACCTACGCGGGACGTAGCCAGAAAGAACGAAAAGATTTTAAGAAGGACTAAAAAAAGGAAACAATTCTTTCCTTGCAGGTGATCTAGGCTGGAAGCAACCAACCCTACATAGTTTTTTATTAAAAATTTTATTTTTCCAACGTTTAAAAAATTTTTAGAATGTTTTTAGTTTTCTTTTTCCTTAAAATAAAGACAGTCTGCAAAAAAATTCCACCTTTTCCGCTGCTTTCCATCATCGCAGCAATCGTAACGCTCTCTCCAAAAATACAGTACCTAGGATTTGTTATCCCAACGACACCTGCGATACATGGTCCTAAGAAAATAAAGAAGTCGCAATTATTTTTAAAAGAATAGATACTTTAAGAAATTGATTTGGCAAACAAAACAGCTTCGCATTCAGCATCAGAAAAAAACCTGTATGTATTCCAATTCGAGCTGCTATTTTGAACTCTGGTAGCTCGTTCACTTTCATCATCTGGTAACATTTTACAGCTTCAAGGGCCATTTTTGCAATCTCATGAGCATGCTTATTACCGTTTCGATTTGGTAATCCAGATACGCAAAAGTACCCATCTCCAATAGTTTCTACCTTAACACCAATGCCGTTACTTTTTCGCATCGTATGTTTTCTTTTCAAATAATAGTAAAAAAACGTGTACATATTGGTGATTAAAAAAAGTCAGCTGAAAGATTTATAACAACACTTTAATTCAGTACCTTGTAGATATCGTATTTTTTTATAACTGCGTCAAGTGCAGCATAAAGACCATCCAAAAGGGTCACCACCTGATACTGTGAAAAGTTAGGATCAAAGAAATAAAATGTTACGTTTAATACGAGGGAAAATCGATGAAACTACTTCAAGCCATTTGTGGTTTCAAATTTTAGCTGGGTACAGTTCGCTATATTTTTATATTGAATGATAAACCACATCTATTGAACAATTCCAAAGAGCTTCTATCCAAAGCTCAGTAACTATAAAGGCGTCAGAACTATTTTTACGCACTGAGCATCAGACCAGACGTGATAAACAAATACCGAAAAAACTTCAATGTGCTATTAAAATTTGCTTTTTAGCAACAAGAAGCTTAAGAAAGTCTTAAATTAGTATAGCAGAACTTTAAGGTAATTATTAGATAATAATTCATTGTAATGATAAGGAAAATTAAAGTTGATTAAGAAATACAAAGTTACTAAGAAAAATCAGATTTGTAAAAAATAAAGAAATTTTAGGTAACAAAAATTCGAAAATTTTTTCTTTTTTTTCTAAGCATTTTACTCGTTTCTCTGCATTCTGCTAACAGTTGCTCAAATACTTTTTTCTGCTAAGTTTCACTGTCTACATGAGTAATTAATTACTGAGTCGCTAAATAATATATCTTTTTTCATTTAAACTTTCAAATTCTTTTCAAGATTTTGCGTGTTATGTCTAGCTATTGATTTATAAATTTATTTGATTCATTTTTAACTTTTTTTCGGTGAGATTAATTAATTTTTCCAGGCAACAAAAGCCTACATTTTTTTGACAAATACGATCAGTTTGGGGAATCGCAAGTAATTTTAACATTTCATGAGCAGTTGGCTAGACTTCCTCAAACCTGGTTTGTCTTACTCGTTGATCTAATTCAGCCTTTCACAGGTTATAAACGTGCTCTATGTACTTCGTTCTTTTGCATCTGCACACCAAAAACAAAAAAAATCGGCAAAGAGACAATTTTTTTTTATTTTTCCTGATCATGTTCATGCACCTTAAACATCTGCTGCAGAACTCAGTTTTTTACACTTTTTTTTTTGTTACAAGTATAAACACAGAAGCAGCAAAGCCCAAATACTTTTGAATAAAACGAATGCTGTTCTGCCAGAAACATTTTGGAAAAGTAGAAGAAATAAAGAAAAAATATAGTGTTTCAAACAATACATGTGTTACAGAAAAGAATCAATGTTTTAAGAAAATTTAAGAGAAAAAATGAACTTTAATTGTGGAACATCGCAATGTTGTAGGATACGGTGTTGCAGAAATAAGTTAGTCAACATTTTAGTACAATTATAGTGCTTAAAGATTAAGCGAAAGAACAACAAAGCAAACCACTTTTTATTCAATCGAGCATTATAGCTTTTTAATTTTTCTTGGTTTACCGTAATAGCTAAGCAAAACTGCAAGTTGGCCACGAGCAGATGTTTTATTTGCCTCCAAGTTCAGTTTTCTAGTAGTAATTTCTCTGTCAAGCTCACGATTTGTACATTTCAAAGAAACTGTATCTGTTTCGGCAATATTTTACAATAAACTATGTTATTCAAAAAAATCTCTTTACAAAAACAGATTTAAGTACTCGGCAACAGATGTTTCTAAAATGCGAAAAACTTTTGAAATAGTAAACCATACGTTTTAGAATTACAGTTGATTAAGGGTTGAAACGCTCTAGCACCGAGGAAGATACTCAGCAAGCTAAAAGGTGGAATTTCACTGAATTGCCCTGAAACAGCCCACCTCGAACTATTTTGGCGATTATATTCCGGGCGTTATAATCTTTTTATTTTGAAAGATTTTTACTTTTAAAATAATATAATTTTCAGATTTGGTGTAACAATCGGCTGCGCAAGCCGAAAGATTCTGTGAAACAAAGATTTTCGGTGAAAGTTCTTCTTTTTCTGAATTAATACATCTTCTTTAGCTAAACCTCTTCCAAAAATTTATTTTTTGGCTTTTATAATTGTTTGTGTAGCAAATTACAAGAAAAATTTATCTTTTAGAGCTCTGGGAAACATGCTTACATGTCTTCTAAAATTTTTGAAAAGCATGTACATGTATATAGTGCAAACATATGACCTTGAATCAAGCATAGTTAGGCAAAAATCTGGTCAATTTTTGCATGTTGCTACAACTGATAAAAAATTGGCTTTTTAAACCTCTGTTCTGATTTCAAAATTTGGAGCTAAATTCAATTCAACAGGAAAACTTGACAGGGGGCGAGAAAACAGCGTAAACTTTGCGTTTTTTACAAGTAATTCTTAGAAAATCTATTATTTTGAAATGAGAATAAAAATTTTCACAAACTTTTGGTTCACATATTGCTGGTTATCGCTATACATACTCTTTTGAATGGTAAGAGTGCTATTTTTTTGAAAAGGTTTAAAGCCCCAAGTAAATGTTCTTTCATGACAAGATCGTAAAAAAAGTTTCAAATAACTGCTTGTGTGTAAAAAGATAGTTTTTAGATTTTTCACGAGTGCATAATTATAGAAAATAGAAATAATTGTAAAGAAAATCATATAGTTTTACTTTTTTCCGCCCTTCTTCTTTTACTTTATCTTCCTTTATCAGCCTTTCAAAAATGACCAGGTGGTGGGGCTCCCTTTATCTTATCTACCACGATTGAACCAAACTTCCAAGTATTTTCAAGTAAGACTGCTAACGTTATGCTAACAATTTTGACAAGATAAAAAGCTCTCAGAGAGTTGACTTATCAAAGCGCTGTTAATTTTCTTAAAAAAATTACTAATAATTTTTATTGTTTCTTAATTTGTGATACACTGCTTTCAATGATTAGAGTGGAGAAGTCGGTCTAATGCTCAGTTCTTCAACCGTCTGCAAAAAAACGAAGCGCAATTTGGCCGTTGCTTTAGGGTAGAACACTTATTCTGGAGGAGAAATATGCAGACAAAAAAGCTTTTTTTGCTTTGAGATATAGAAAAAAATACTGCGGAGTCTTAAACCTGTAGCGGTGTACAGCGACTCGCTATTTTTGTAAATGATACAAGGTCTGACAACATTAGTGTGGCACTTTCATAAAATTCTGGTTCGATATGTTCGCCATTTTTCAAGCTCGCAGCTATTCTTCTGCAAAAACTTTTTTACCACCTGCGTATTGTTCATTTTCACGATTGGGATTAGAACTTCATAGCTTTGAGCTTTATTCTTCAGCTATTAAGAAGAAAATTTGTCAGAAAAAATCTAGAATTAAGCTGTTTCTAACTTTTAATAGTCAAATTTGAAGCGGCTGATTCCTAATTCATTAAAGCTAAAAATGTCGTTCAACTTTTTGTTTCAGAATCTTTCTTATAGACTTAGCTGAAAAAATCTGCACTACAATATCTCTAAAAAAATTTGAAATAGACAAAGAAAAAAGCTTACGGAGGCAGAAGTCTTCTTAAAACTTCATCTGTTTTTATTTTCTCTTGAGCTAATAAACACGTTCGTTTTTCTACCTCAAGTTCAAGGTTTTTGGCTTGTTTTTCGAGAACCAAAGAAAGGTGATCAAGCAAGCAATCAGACCTGAAAAAAATTTAACCAGAAGTCTAGAAGTGCGAGCACATTTAAATGTATACCTTTTTTCTAACATTGCTTTAAGCAGAGTGAGCAGTTTTGCAGTATTAGGTCTCGACCGTGGATTATCCGCCCAACAATCGCGTATCAAGCACAACTGTAATGCACTGTTTGAAAGTTATATTCAAGTAGTTCTCTTTTTTAAAATAAATTTGGTTTTTTCAGAACATGGTTTTGATAAATTGTTGATATTTCTTAGATAGTTTACCAGTCCCAGGTTTACATTCAGCTCTGGATCCACTTTCAACTCAGGCCTCACGCACGGCTCATAAGAGCGTTTGATCATGTAAAGTAATTCTGAAAACCATTATTAATGTCCACAAACGACGAGGGTTTCATACACATTATGAATTACCTTCAGCCGTTTCTTCTCTATTTTCCAGATCCCAAGCAGGTTTTCTAGTCAGTATTTCAGTTGCCACTATAGCAAAGCTATAAATGTCACCAGACTGAGACCCGACAAATTGATTTGCTCTCAAAACTTCAGGAGCCATATACAATAGTTCTTAAAATAGCCATTACGCCGTTTCAGAAAAATCATTAATTAAGTTTAGAAATAATTGCAAATTACCTTTTCTACTATACTTTTCGTTTGCTCTTAGCCTTGTGAGGCCAAAATCGCTAAGCTTCACCTGGTAAGTGGCAGTCACTAAGCAATTTTTCGACATTAATCGACCATGAAACTTCAAATCCGAATTGTGTAAGAAAGCAATCCCCTGCAAAAAGTAATAATTCACTTCAAACTGTTTTCGTTATCACGTAAGTTTACTGCTAGATATAACCTCAAGCTTCATTTTGTAACACGAAAGACGCTATTGAATACGTGTTGCGATATTGAAATTAGAAGCTTAATCGAACTAACCACTAATATGTTAAATGATTTCCGTAGCAGCTGAAATTCCCCTGCTTTACTGCCGTTTTTACTGTATTTTTCCAGACAACTACCTGTTTGAAGCTGTTAATTTGCGAATTTACTTGAATTTAATCATACATTATTTATATGACTGTTGTGTTTAGAACAGTACTTTTCTATATAATTTTCGTAGGGCAAAGTTACACTGTATAGGTTTCACTGAATCGCTTTTGAATCGATGCGCTAATGAAAAATTTATTGCTTTTGCAGTTTATGATGCTTACCAAACTTAGTTTTTTTGACAACTTTTTTTCTCTTTTCAAACGTTAGCGAGAATTGCTAAATTTTTTAAAGTATTTTAGCACTAAGTGGAGTTATGACACCAAAACTGAAACCAAACACCAGAAATTGATAATGAGCAGTAAGAACTATAAGAAAGTAACTATAAACAATTTTGAATTTTAGAAATTAATAAACACCTATCGCATTACACAATCTCAGATTCAGTCAATTAGTAAGTCACAGGTAGTAATACTGTTTGGTGCATTCTAGCAATAAATCCAATCAAGCAGTATTATAATGATATGACAGTGCGCATGTTGATAACGCTATTGAAAACGCCATTGAATGCAACAGCGCATGAGTTTATCAAGCAGTATGACTATGCACCTTGTTAGCAAATGACACCTGTCACCACTGTTATATAATTCCACTCTTCAGAACAAGAGCATAAAAACTGAGTAGTAACACTCGGGTAATTGATTTGCTGAGAATATCTATATAGCGCATAATGCTCTGTAGCTTTAAAAAACATGTGATGTAGTGAGTTGTTCACATAAGTTTAAGAAAAGTAAGAGTGAGCTAATAAGGCTTTTTGCTAAGGATTAAAAATTTGTATATGTCTGAACGGCAGAAGATAGAAATTGAGGCACGTAAAAAATTAAAAGTTTCGAAACTACATAGGTCATGACTGTCGAGCAGTGCCGGCCGACGTCAGTGCGTTTTTGTGCGTAAACAATCTATTAACGACAATAAAAAAAAAAACTTAATTTTAATTCTTACTCAGAAGTCAAAAAGAATCTTTGACCAATAGCAAGACTTTTTGGCCATTTCTGCTGCCTCTCTAAATTTTTCCTTTTCCAAGCTTAAGTATTGTAAAAACCTACTCGTTTCTATTTTCTAACTTTATTTCAACCTTCATGTCGTTTTATAAATGTCAAAACTGTAATGTGCCTGAAAAGACAAAAATTGCCAAAAAAGATTTTTTTTCTCTTTTCTATTGAAACAACGTCGGTTAAGTAACGTTTTATTTTCTATTTTTTTTTAATATTGAGTCGTTTTTGCCTACTCTTCAACGCCGCTACAATGTTTTTATCTTCTCAGCATTTTTCAGATAAAAAATCCTAGAGTTTCAGAAAACTCTTTTCCAATAACCTTATTGGCCACTCCAAACGGTTGATCAATAAATTTTGTGTAAACATTTGAAAAACTGCAGTCGCGATGTCCTTGGATCAACCAAAAAATGTTCAAAATCAGGCAAACTATCACCAAAATGTTGTTGAGATAAGTCAGTGTCTAGATTTACCACTGAAAGCAGCAAACAGTTACTGCATGTCCCAAAAACACTGTCAAAAAAGCACCAATATGAAACAATACGAAAAGTAAAACTATAGTCTAACACTACAGTTTAATAAAGTCGTAAAAACTTTATTAGAAGAATGCACAGCTGCTAAAGGAAAAATGTAACAAAGAGTACAAGATAGTAAAAAACTCATTTTTCAGAAGTAGTTGAATTTTACTGCAAACAAGTTTAAAATTCTCAACGCAGTGTTCTTACATATACTGAAAGACTGACTTCTGAGCTAGCTTTTTAACCTCGTTATTTGAATCTTTTAAAATTCCTATTAATTGACGATGCCGATCAGTCATTTATTACAAATACAAATTAAAGATTTAAAAATATCGCGAAATTTACCTTTGCAATATCTTTAATTATGCAGATCATAAAAAAAGAGTCCAGAGCTACAACAGAGTTCGATATCAGCTCCTATAAGTTGTAAGGTTTTGGAATTATAAAACAAGCATCAAATTTGCCAGTTCAAAGCATCTACAGCCGATGATTCTGAATTTTTGGAGAAGACAAAGTCATTGATTCACGAGCTAAGGTTCATTGGAAACCTACGTCTATGCTGTTTCTTTCGCAATGTTTCCAAATAGCTAGAATCTCAAGACGATTCAGCGAAACTCCAAAGAAGCGATTGAGATACTCGTTGTCTAACTTAATCATCTAGAAAAATTGTGCTTAGATTATCATGTAATAAGTTTCACAATTTTTTGCATTGGTGATGACAGTAGTTTACACCTATCTACCAAATGGCAGTCCAGGTGTTTATGCAAACTTTTAATAAAAACTTACGTAACGAAGTTCTGCGATATCTTCTTCTGATAGACATGTAAAAGCCTTATGCCTGCGAACAAGCACGTAGCAGTCTTCATATGTGTAAATTTCGCCGTATCTTTCTTTTTTTCGTACATTTTCCTCTTCCCCTTCCTCACTAGAGGTAATTGAGTTTTGATCAGTGAAATATGTTCCTTTCTGGAAATCTGCACTTATGTGACTGGTCATAGTTGTAAGCAAACGAGGAAGCAACAAATTTGAATAATAATCAAAACATGCAAATATATAACAGAAAGTTTATAAAAATTATGCATTTTGTAAAGCTAGATATATAAGCTAGAAAGAATTTGGAAAAACTTGCTCCAAATTGAATAGGGTCTAGTGAGTCGTGCGAAATTTGCCACTTTCGGTCTTGTTCGACTGTTTCTTTCCGATGGTTTCTAAAAAAGTCGGAAGATTCTACAGATTACAGTAATGCAAACAGTCAACTTCGCTACCTAAATTTTTTGAACTTTTTTTGGTGCCTTGATTGCTCCTCAGGTGATAGTAAAATCATTGCTTGAGGTTAAGTGAAAAAAAAATGAGCAATTTATCTAAATATCGAATGAATGACAACAATAGTTGAAAAAAAAAGAATTGCCTGTTCTACGCAGATCCCAGATTCTCTCATAAATAACAATTGCCTTTTCACTGTCAAACAAAGCTAATAACTTGAAAAAAACGTGTTATAAAAAACAAATTTGAAAAAATTTTTTGAAAGAGTGATTTCACTTTATTTAAGCTCAAGCAACACATATAAAACCCAATCAAAATACTTCTTCTCAGTCAACACGAAATCTCTGAATTCTTAATCTGCAGCCGTATTCTATAACTTGCTGCAATTGAAAAGATAAATCAGTTGCAATATGTCTCAGCTTAATAGTTTACGATCCTTCTACGACAGGCAGTACACATTTTAGAAAAGATAAAGATTTTTAAACAAAGGCGAGTTATTGTGATCTGGCTTAACTCCTTATAAGAGGGGGAAGACGAAAAAAGAGTCATTGAGAAAACAGCGTTAATCAAAAAGTGATGAGAAATAGTTATGTCTAGTCACACTTTTGAAGAGATTTAAGAAAAGTAGGATAAAAATTGCAGCGTTATCAAAAAAGTCGAATAAAGTACAAATAAAGCAGCCTATTTCACAAGAGGTATTCCGTAAAAAGTTTGCAGCAAGTGACGTAAGGTGCACTAATGTTTATAAAAATATATGACAAACTTTTTTAGTTCAGGTCACACTTCGTATGCTCAAAACCTTTCGTTCATCCACTCAGATCAAACAGTCTGTTTTAAAAAATAAATTGTTCATAAAAAACAAAATATGGTGTTATATTCTTTTGGTACTTGGTAAGATATGCTTGTAAGACAAGGACTAATCTCTTCTGTATTTACTTAAATAAAGTGACATTGTGCAAGAAGCAAAACCTTTGCAGATGACTTAAATTCAAATAGGTGTATTGTAAGAAACTCAAATAGAAGCTAGAGTTAACTGTAAAAGACAAGAGTTTGCTACCAAATCAGAACACTTTTGGAAGTGACGAGTAAAATTTAAATCTAAGCTGCAGATGAGGAGCTGCACCAGGACTGTCACTCTCTTTCTGACGCAAGCCTCCATGCAGTTCTACAACGCCATGACAGCCTGTTTCTTCGCTGTTTCTTTCTATCTGCTGCAAAATTCCTCTTTCCCGCTTTCCGCTCCTCCATGTTAACGTCCCACTTGTTCTGCCTCCGCCTTCCCTACCCACCACCTCCAAATATCCTTAATGAAAAAGATAACTGGCCAGTCAAGGCGCCACTGATAAAAAACAAAGTTTTCCTTGCTCGATTTTTTAGCAGCTAAAACATAAACTAGTTTGTAAATTGAAGATTTATATTGAAACTCCTCTACTGTCCTCAGCCTTTCATCAAATGCGAAGATTTACGTCAAGTTTTTGCTTTTCAAAACATTGTCAGCTTCAGTGCCTTAATTTCTCTTAACTTTGAAAACCAGATTTCTTTTATTTCCATTTGCTCACCAAGACTTTGAGGCGTTTACCTTAGCCAGATTAAGGTGAAAGAACTTTAAGCGATATGAGAGGTTTTCTAAATTTTTTTTCCTTCAAAGCTGAGACATTATTGTGCGGTGCTCCTTACTATTTTTTCAAAGCAATATCTAGTTCTAAAGATAAAAAAAAGATACAAAAATTCTTCAAAATTTGTAGACTTCACCTGTAGAACAGAATTCCTGTTGCTGATATGATCACAATGAGAAGTGCTCCGATAGTGGCTGCAGATATAAAATATGCAGAATAACTTTCCCAAACAGATGGAAGGCATAGCTCATTGGAAAACCCACAGACTGGAACTGATAGTGGTCGAACGCCATCATAGAAACCCCATACAGCAACAGCTTCTTTGGTGTAATACTTTCTCACAATCTAAATAGTGAAAAATATTTTTTTATTAGCAGATTTTCAAATTCTGTTTTGGGTTTTTTAAATAACATACGCATATATACACTGAATCAAACACACATATTTTTTTCATCGCTTCATTTAAAAATTTGACATATGCTCCAAGAAAGCGAAGACAATATTTTAAACGCATATTTAATCGAAAAAAAATTTAGTTACGCAATCAGTTTTACCGCTTCTTGCCCCAAAAGGATAACTGTCAAAAGAGTACTGTCGGAATTGTAATCTTCCAGCCTTTTCAGAACTGTAACAGGTTCACGAATGCCGTGCTTATCAATGTCAAAGGATAAATTAGCGTATCCTAAACAGGGTAATTCACTGACTTTGATTAACAAAAGCTTAGTATTAATTTCTTATATCAAATCCTTCGGCCTCGTTTAAGGCCCATACTAATTGGAATAGGAGAATTTCGTTATGCATTTTTATATCTAGATCGTAGCCAAAAGGCATATAATTTTTTAACATCAAAAAACCAGTTTTCTTGCTTTTTTTTCTCAAATACTTTGATAAATTATTTCAGTAGCAACACAAAAACTGAATTAAATCAGATTTTTAGATACACTAGCAATAACTTTGTTTAAAAGAGAGACCAAATTTGAACAAAAATAATTCTCAGAAATACTGGCCAAAACTGGAACAGAAGAATCAAGTAATACACACGGTAGCACAGTTTCAATTGAAATATTTACTTTAACCATTATAAAGTGGCAGAAATTGTTTTGAGAAAGTATTTTATGTGATTGGTGGCACGGGCTATTGCCTGCGAGTTACAAATGACGTCTAACTAATAGGAGCTCTTTAAATAAGGTGGAAGATAGCAACACTTGTGAGAAGTTAATGACGGCGGTTGAGTATAGCACGATGACTCGTGATTTGAAGCTTATCACCAACTTTTACCACATTACAAGACCTTTTTACAATTCCTATGTCTCTAATAAGTCTCATGCTTTTCCAGAACAGCTGTTCAAGAAAGAATGGCGTTTCTGAACATAAAATGAGCTGCACTTATCTGCGCTTTTTTCAAGAAGCTTTTTTGCTGTTGTTTGAGAAAGGTCTCAAAACTCTTAATGAGCGCTTTTGCTTGCATTATCCCCATTTGACTGTTTTTTAAATAAAAGGGACATTCATTTCTTTCTGCAGTCTCTTTTTGGTAATAAACAGTAGCTGAAATCCGCAAAACAGCTGCTGTGGTACGGAAAATATTGATAAAATTTTGATTTTGTAAACTAAAAAACTGAAAGTTATATACCGAGCTTTCAGGTGATCAAAACGGTTGTAGCAAGAAGCAAGAAGAAAAAAAATAACGCTGAAATTTGACCTAGAAGACAAACATGGGACCAATCTAAGCGCATCAAATAGAGCAGTTAAAAATAAAACATTAAGAAGTTAACGAATAATGAGCAAGTATGCAAAAATAACAGTTTAAAGCGCAAATGAAAAAGAAGTACATAAAGTAGAAGCAAATAAGTGGTGTGAAAAAGCGGGTAAAATAAAGGGGATGAAAAACAGAAAACAGTTTATTGTGTAGTAACAAAAGGTGAAAGCAAAAAATGTCTATGTAGGTGAAATTAAGTTTTAAGAGAAAAGTAAGCGTGAAAATTTCAAAATCGTGTTGAAAGAGGCAGATATATTCCACGAGCTTTAAATGAAGATTTCAGCGCAATATCTTTTAATTTTTTTCCATTAGAAAAGTAATTTTGCTAAGATATCAAAGTTATGTTCTCTTGGTATAATTTTGCTACTGCATGCGTGACTTTTACTCGTAAATTCCCGCTCCGACCACACACCATGATACTTTAATCTTTGACTGATTTTCAGCCTTATTTTATTTAGCTCGTTTTATGCAGTAAATTTAAAGACTAGAATTCTCATAAATAAAGTAAGATTTTTAGTTAAAATGTTTAGAAATTGATTGGTAGCTTCATCTATTTTATTTCATACTTTTTTCTAATGGGAGTGATGAGTTTTAAAATATGCCCTTAACAACTTCTTTGAGACCAAATATTTTCTCAACAACTTGGGGCTTCTTTAATTAAAGTTTCGTCAGTTATAATTTCGCAATATTTTCTGATTTTTTTAAAAAAATACTTCTATTGCCTATCTAAGGCTGATGAAGTTATTGAATAGTGAATGAAACTCAGAAAAAATACTATTAAAGCAGTGTTTTAACTTGTGATTTCAGAACACTTCTTAAATCTTGTTTTCTCAAGATAACTTTCAGCTTCTAAAGTGCTTGAAAAACAACGTGCTTGTTGCCAAGTTTACCTTTGCAGTCAACTTTTTTCACTGGTTATCTTGTAACGGAAATCTGGAAATTGTTTAGTGGTTTCTGAGCACATAACCTTCACTGTTTCGTTCCTTTTGATAAAAAAGTTTTTCGAACAAGAAAAAACTATAAGCACCAAATATCAGGTTTACTTTTAAAAAAAATCTGTGCTGAAATGGCAGCTGAGAATCCAAGTAGTAAAATACTTGGTTGTCTGTAGGTTCTTCTTTGTTCATCGTTCCAGGCACTTTGGGTTCTAGATTTTCAAAAAGCAGCGACTATTAGAAACAGTTTTGGTACGATAAAAAAAAGTGATGATCGCGATGAAGGAATTTTATAAGAAATTGGACAGGCATGACTCTAAGAAGATATCACTTAACCGCTATTTTTTAATTTTTGTCTTATAATTTAAGATCCCGGTTGAATATCACTTTTAAACAATGCATGTATTAATGTCATTGTTTCTTTATGAAAGTATTCTTCAAAAAAAAAAAAGCAAAATACTTTTAATACACTATTGCTTACTTCTTTCCTGACTTTACAACTTTCAATAAAGACAATGTAGGCCGCTTTTTGTAAGCGTAGGATTTATGCTTGAAAAAAATTTGAAATTGTTTTAGTTTTTCAGAATAGTGAGCATGCAAAACTTTACACGTTTGAATAAAAGCTTGTTGCTTTTTGAACCTAAAAATGTCGAACTTACCAAAAAATAAGTCTACACCGTTTACTTTTTTTTTTGAAGAACTTTTCCGTAAATACGAGTGTTATAGCATTTTGAAAGGTTAATTTTTATTTCAAAGAAAGCTTAGGAACAATTTGCCTGGATATGTTCTTTCTATGCGCTGCATAAATTTAGTGCCATTGCGCAATGCAGCCAACCCGTCTTCTGCAATAGTCTCATTAAGCCTGTAGGCGTACAATATAACTGCATCATACAAATATCTGGCATAAGTAGAAGCCTAAAACGTAGTTTAAAATTTAACAAAAAATCTTTTTGCGTATATAAAAAATAAAGGCAACTAAAGAACACTTTTTAATAAAAAAAAAAATTTTATTTGCATTTTTAAAGAAATGCACAAATGCTTACCTCTTTGACTGTCTCTGAAGCGCAAGGTTCTCTGCAATTGAAAGGCTCTTTAGAAGCCCTGACAAATATTTCTTTTCTGGCTGCTGTATGGTTTATGCTTTCATCCGGTTTAAATCCGAGCTTAAGTTTATGAAACTAGTTAATTTAAATAAGAAAATTATTTTTGTCCAAATGAAATGTTTTATAAAGAAGGCAAAAGGGTGAAGAGTACAACTGTTATTGACTATTTATAAGTAATTTTTCAAAGAGAGAACTGTTATAGAAGGTCCAGAGTTCTTAAGTGAGCCAGCGAACAGCTAATAAAGTTGGCGAAATTAAATTAAGTAACATTAAGTGAAGTCGTACGTCGGTAACATAGTCCTGGTTGAGTTAAAAAGAGATTAAAAAAAAGAGATCAAGGTACATTTTTTTTAGTTTATGTCATAGTTTCTCAGTTTTTTCCTTCTGCTTGCAAAACCGCAAAGAGTAACTGGCAAAAATAATTTCTGAATTAAAATTGAAAAATCTGTCAAATCTTTTCCTGAATTGATTACCTTTGAAAAAAGCGCTTAACAAGACACAAGCATTTTTCATTATCTTAGTTGTCGCACTTTCTTTCTTCAAAAAGTATTATGCTCTGACAAATGGCATATTTGGGAAATTGTTTCAAAATAGCGTTTTCAAAAATGTTGCGGTCAAGTGGATTTATGAAAACATTAAGCCCCAATAAGTTGTGGGGTGAAAAGTAGTAGAAGATCGTGAGCAACGCTTAATCATTTCTTCTTCTCAATGTTGCGAGTTAGCCACATACCGCAGCAAAATTAAAAAAAGTTCCTTTTACTGGAAAAAAAAAGTATGGAAAAAACTGACTTTAAAACGCTGAATGATTATAATAGCTTTTTCATTGCCAGCTACTTTTGGGCAAATAAGTGATTGAAGCCATAACAAGCGCAAAAAATTTTCAGCTTGAGTAGCTAAAACCTTTTCTTATGAGTTTACAGTTAAGACTTAAATATTTAGTCTTTTTCTAAAATTTGTTGCTTTGATTTATTCAAAATAAGCAATTCATAATAACGACTTTAGAACAAACATCCGAGCTGTATTGAATAGATGATAAGGCAAATTTTAGAATTTTTAAGTCATTTTCTTTGTAAAGTTCTGGTAAAAAGAGTTCGAGAAAAAATAGTAATTTTTAACAGCGATATTTTCAAAACCGCTATGTCCTGATTAAACTCACTGCAATCGAGTTTTAATTTTTTCTCTCTGTGCAACAAAAATTGTTCTATAAGCAACCACTTGAGTTGAAAAATGCGTCGGAATAGCCTTAATTTGAAGAATCGTTAGACACATCTTTCATAATTAACAGAGCAATTCAATCTAGAAAATGATTTACTTATTTTTTAAATTTTTTTGCCTAATTTTGGTAGCGATCTCACAGTTAGTGAGAATACCGCAATGTTCCGGTGTCTTTCGCTGCCAAAGTTTAATTTCGTTTACCAGACCTAGAGTCAGAGCAAAAAGTTGAGATACTACAAGCGTTTAATTTGTATTACTTTCTTGTGAACTTACCGGGTCTTAAAACTAGCGATTTCAGGAATAAACTTAACAGGGTTTTCATATCTGTTGATAAAAGAGATAAGTTGGAAAAAAGAAAGATATGCAAATATATTTTTTACGGTTGCGAAGCCTTTTTTTAAGAGAACGAAAAATGAAAGGAGGGGGCGAAAGAGATATAAGAAAAGAAATTGGGAGTTCATGTTGATTGACTACTCCATAAATATTTGAAAAGAGGTCTTGAAAAAGCCCTTCCCCTTGGCAAGTTGCAACTGAAGCGACGTCGCTGTCGTCGCAAATTCAAGCAGTTGAGGAGACATGTCGACCGTCTCAACCTCAGCTAAAGACTTAATACCAAAAATATGAGCTGCGCTGTTGCAGACTTACAAACAATTGTGAGACAATGACCCTTTGTAGCAATCGGTTGAGTAATGTGGAAAAGCAGTATAAGGCAAACGGGACGATGGCGTCACGGCAGCAATGCAAAAAATGTTAAATTGCTTAAGTTTGAGGAGCTGTGCAGCGGTGACAATAGTGCGACATTATGAACGGGTTTGACCTTTTTTAGCAGCATTAGTGGGGAGAGGTTGCTGAGAAGTGTAAAACAGTCTGTGAAGCCTCACCTAAATCGAGTGATGTGAGGTGCAGTGATAGGTGATGCAGCACCTCGGGTAGAGCTTGGTGGTTCGTTTCCGTCAGGAATATAGAAGAGAGTTTTGCGTGTAGCTAAGCATATTTGCACTGATCTCTATACTCATATTTCGCTTCTCTTTCAGGTCGGAATATCTGGAAGAAAAGCCAGATAAGCGCCCTTCATAAAGGAATTATCAAAAAATTAGTCTGCCACAAAGCAGGCTGATCTAGAGCCGATAAAAAAAATCCATAAATTCAAACGGAACCCGGAGATGTTCGATAGTGTTCCGCTATTTGAGACCAGAGGCGGTACAGTGCACTATACATTTTTTTCCGTACGAATTCAATGAAGCTCTTTCCGTACCATACCGTGACGTATGCCCCTCCTTGAATTCCTGCCATAGAGACTCAAAGCTGTTTGTGTAA